GTTTGCCGGATCCACTTTCCTCCCTTTCTTGAAGATCGGCACCACATTAGCCTTCTTCAAATCTTCAGGCACTTCACCAGAGTGCCAGGAGCTCTTGAAGATCTGTGCCAGGGACTGGGCGATGATGCTCGCCAGCTCCTTGAATACCCTGGGATGTAATTTGTCAGGGCCGGCTGACTTGAAAGTATCCAGCCTCTCAAGGTGTTCCTTCACGAGGTGAGCATTGATGGAGGGCAAGGAATCTCCCTCACCCGGGCCTCCCTGCCCCGTAATGCGCAGGGGCATCCCACAGGACTGATGAAAGACTGATGCAAAGTACTCATTTAGCAAGTTGGCTTTTTCCTTGGCTTCGGTCATCAGTTGTCCCGTCTGGTTTAGCAGGGATCCACTGCTGCCCTTGCTTTTCCTCCGGCTCCCCACATATCTAAAAAAGGACTTTTTATTGTCCTTGATACTGGTGGCCAGTCGGAGTTTGGTCGCAGCCTTGGCTTTCCTGGTTCACTCCCCGCAGGTCCAGACCAGTGCTGAATATTCCTCCTTGGAGCTGGATCCTGTCCTCCAGCCTTTGTAGGTCTTTCTTTTATAACGCAGGAGGTCCACTAGTTGCTGAGCCAAGGGGGCTGCTGTGCCCTTTTGCTGCCTTTCCTCTGAGATGGAACAGCCTTAGCTTGTGCATCTAGGATCACTCCCTTAAGTAGCAACCACCCTTCCTGTACTCCCCCCTCCTTGGGGTCGAGGTCCCTTACGGCCTGACCGACAAGCCTCCTGACCTTGTCAAAGTCAGCTTTCCTGAAGTCAAGGACTTCTGGATTGCTGACTGACTTGCCAGCTTTTCAGCGGATGCTGAAGGTGATCAGATCATGATCACTGTCACCCAGCTTCCCTTCGATCATTAGGTTGCTGATTAGGTCATCCCCAGTTGCCAGTACCAGGTTGAGCAGAACTTTACCTCTCGTTGGCCTGTAGACTTCGTGTGTCAGATAGAGCTCATCCACACACGAGAGGAAGCTTTGCAACCGCTCAGATTTGGCCGAGCGCTCTTCCCACGAGATGTCTGGGTAGTTGAAGTCTCCCATGACAACCATGAACTGGGAGCATGTGGCCTCAGTCAATTCCCTGGCGAACTCCTGGTCAAGCTCTTGATTCTGGGTGGAAGGTCTGTAGTAGACTCCCACAATTGTGTTCCCTGTACCGTGTTCCCCACGGATTTTAACGCAGAGGGTCTCAAGTCATCCACCCCGGTCGCCAATATTGGCTAGCAGGGACACGTAGCTCTCCTTGTCATAGACAGCTACACCCCTGCCCCTTTAATCCACTCAATCCCTCCTGTACAGGGTACAACTGTCTATACCTGTGGCCCAGTCATGGGTGGAGTCGCACCAGGTCTCCGTTTGGGGGTTTGGCCGGAGTGCTGAAAAACCCCACAATGCCTACCTTGGAAGGTGCCAGAGTGCTAGCATACCAGAAAAACAAAATGAGGGCAGGGGGTACATCAGGATGCCCTGCTTGTGCCCCCTGCCCCCCACCCAAAGCCTCTGGCCCCCAGCCCGGGCTCTGTGGCTGTTAGCAGCTACCCAGAACCTGGGACAGCTGCAAACAACTGCTGCCTCTCCAACCTTGCCCCGGCCCCAGCCCCAGCTGCCTCCCAGCCCCAGACCCAGCCCCAGGATCCAGGGAGGCAGCACATACCAACAGTACTCCCTGCTGTACTGCCCTTGCCGCTTCTGCAAAGCAGCGCTGGAACCCTGCATGGCAGGGCACAGCAAGGGGCACAGAAAGCTGCCTGCTCCAAGCTCCCTGCTGCCCTGCCATGCTTCCCCTGCATGCACGGGAGTAGCATGGGCAGCAGCACAGGGTTGTGCCCCTCACTGCTGCCCCCACCTGCAGGAGAGGTGCGGCCAGAGAAGTGGGGAGCTGGAAGCAGGCAGCTTTCTGCGCCTCGTGCTGTGCCCTGCTGCACAGGATTCCAACGCTGCTTTGCAGAAGCGGCGAGAGCAGCACAGCAGGGAACACTGCCAATATACACTGCCTCCCTGGAGCCTGGGGTTGGGACCGAGGCTGGGTCGGAGAGACAGCAGATGTTTGCAGCTGGCCCAGGTTCTGGGAAGCTGCCAATAGTCACAGAGCCCGGGCTGCTTGCAGCAGGGTTTCCATGGGAGCAGCCCGGGCTCCATGCCTATCAGCAGCTACCCAGAGCTGGGGCCGGGGCTGGCTGCAGCCAGGAGGCTACAGACAGCTGCTGCCCTCCTGCCCCGGCCCTGGCCTCGGGCTCCAAAAAGGCAGCAGGTGCCACCCCTGCGCCCGCTGGGGCCAGGAGGCAGCAGCTGTTTGTAGCCTCCCAGCTGCAGCTGGCCCCAGCTCTGGGTAGCTGCTAATAGCCACAGCGCCCAGGCTACTCCCAGCAGGGCTTGTATCATCCCACCTGCCTGCTGGCAGCAGCCTGGGCTCCCAGCTGGCAGCAGCTGCCCAGAGCTGGGGCCTGCTGCAGCTGGGAGGCTACAAACAGCTGCTGCCTCCCTGGCCCTAACGCATGCCAGGGAAAATGGCCTCATGTGCTATGCTCGGCACATGTGCTGGGGGTTGCCAACACCTGGTCTAAACTGATCTTGAAAATTTCCAAGGATAAAGAGATTCCACAACCTCTCTAGGTAGGCTATTTCAATGTTTAACCAACCATCTTCTCTTACATATCCTACTGTATGCCCTAGACCTGAATGTCAAGTAAAATTCTTCCATCGTACACTTGTTTTCATTTAGCACAGCTGCAGATCTCTGCTGCCTTTAATTCATAAGGAAAAAGATGAATCCCTCCAGCCTCTTAAGCAGCTTTGTTCTATTTTTATCATATATATTTTCACTATCTTTTAAACTGAAGCTGCTAGAATAGGCTTAATTTGCTATGATAGTAAATACCTAAGCATAATCTAACTGAAGAAAGTGACACTGTAAATATCATCACTTTGACAGAAGAAATAGTCTAACTCTAACAAAATTACTAATTAAGATTTGTTTAAACACAAGATTTGTTTAAACTTGAAGTCATTTTATGGTACTTTAAGTTCATCATCTTAAAAATTCAAATTAAAAGGCAAACCATAATTTAGTTATTTAGCCGGCAACTTGTTCTTAGTCTTAGCACCTTTCATGACTATAGGTTTGATCAGTTCAGCTCTTCTAACCTCCTCATCCTAAACATCAATGTTTCTCATTAATGTCTTGTTTATACAAAATCATCTAGTCTTCTGTGCTCTGCACATGTAATCAATCCAATTATAGTTAACAGATTTTGTTCACAGACACTGAGGGAAGATCTGTGATGATGATTAAGCACAAACAACATGTAGAAAAAAAATCCCTGCATAAAGCCTATAAAATAAAATGTGCAACATAAACACACTGGGGAAAAGGGGTGGTGCTTGTAACATGATCACACTAGATCTGCATACTCTGTTATCCCTCATGTATTCCTGCTGCATCACTTAGGACAGATTCCTACTGTACTTTCTGCACCTAAATCAGGAGTGTCAAAGATATAGCCACAGTTTGGATCTGCCTCTTGGAGCCCTATCAGCTAACTCGTGTTGCTGCCTATGGGTTTTAGACTGGACCCACATACTACATGCAGTTCACCAGATTAGCGCACACACTGCAAAGCCACTTATGGGGCTCAGTGAGGAGCTGCTTAAAGATCTGAGCTTAATTAAATGAATCAGGTACTGAACATGGTCATGGAACAAGACAACCAAGTAAAAACATTCAATAACTTGTTGAAGGAGGTGAAAAAAAAACAGAATAGGTTGCTAATGGTAGCCGAAAAGGTTAAGGACTGTAAGAAAGGCTTCTTTCAAGGGAGAAGAGAAATGGTAAAGAGAAAGTAGGCCACTTAATAAATTGAAGAGGGACTCTAAATTAGATCTTAAAATATCATAGTGATAAGTTCTATGTAGAAACAAAAAGTAAATTACTGGTTGCACAAAAATTTACATGCAAAAGAAAGAAGAGGACACTAGCCTGCACAATTAAGACATCCTTTTAAAAAGAGCTACATAAAAAGCAGCGAATACTTCAAAAATAGCATTGCCTTAGCTCTAATGAGGTTGCATAACCTTTATTTGGGCAAAGTACAATCTCTACTGTAGCCAAATGAGCATCCAGTATCAGTAGCATTAGCCACTTACTGTTTGTGGATGCTTCCTTTTCTTCAGATTTTCTCTGATTTCCATACATAGGTCCTGTTTCTCAATTTGAAGCATTATGCATTTCATTTCTTCATGATTTTGACGGCTTATAATAACAAACCATATTTCCCACTATAGACCCCTATTGACAATATCTGACCATGATATAACACATGAAAATCAAGCTCACTTTTATTTAACAAGTATGCTGCCTTTTCTGATTTCATCTAGTTATCAGGCTAGACACAGTGAGGTTAAGATTGGCTTGGGGGAGCTGATATTTCTATTTTTGCTGTGAACCTGGAAGAAGTTCAGACTCCTGGCATGAAGGTTTTGTTACAGTGGAATAGCTTCTTACCTCTCTTGGATGACTGGCAATGGCAACAGTGCCATCTGCGTTGTATTTGATAGGTGCTCCTCCTTCCTGCACCAGTGTCCCATACCCCGTACTTGTGTAAAACGCTGGAATTCCTGCCCCTCCTGCACGGATTCGCTCTGCCAGGGTGCCCTAGAGGAGAACAAGCAGATAACAGACTTCAATTTGATTTCCGCAAAAGAGCAAGTACGTTATGCAGTTTGTGCACACTTTCTTTGGTCTTCCAACTTGGGGCTTTTCTTATTTTTTTTTCACTAACTAACATGATCGAAAGTCATTCAGTCAATTTTCTCCTTTTTTTATTCTCTTCTGCTGATGTGGTATAGCATTTGGCAATAAAACCCACCAGTTTTTCAATAGCGTATTGTAGTCAAACTCCCTGCTCAGTGTCAGGCTCTAGCTCTTTGTCATATCTTATTTGCCCCTTGCTTAGATACTTGTTACCTGGATAATCAGTCGCAGTCATCCATTCTGTATCATCTTCCTCATTCTCCACTTGACTGCCTAAAAATAGTCCTTTATATCAACCTATAAATTTGCTTCATTTCTAGTCCTCAAACTCTGATACTCTAGAACAGAGATGGCCAGTCTGTAGCACACATGCCACAAATGGCACATGCAGCCTGTGTGTGGGGCACACAGGAAGTCAGGGAGGAAATGCAGATGCAGCAGTGACAGATAAGGCAGAAAACAGAAAGCAAATTGGGTGGAGGGGAAAGGATCAGTATAGCACTCAGGGAGGGTGCTAGGTTAATTTCTGGCAGGCCTGCCAAAAAGGTGGGCCCCACTGCTCTAGAGTAGCCATTCTCAACCTTTTCAGACTCAAGGCACCCCCTCCAAAATTTTTCAGAATTTAGCAGCACCTCATTTTAAAATATTAATATAAACGAATTATAATATAAGCAGTATAACTCTACTATGAACTAATGTTTTTGATTATATAATAAATAAATCAAACCAAAGCACATAGGGCAGTTTCTGCCCATGCCAGTAGTGCCAGCATTGTAGCATCCCAGTTGAGAACCACTGGTTTAAGGATAGCTGCTAACACTCAGAGTTAGAATCATAGAAAATGAGGGTTGGAAGGGACCTCAGGAGGTCATCTAGTCCAACCCCCTGCTCAAGGCAAGACTATCCTCAACTAGATCATCCCAGCCAAGACCTTGTTTACCCAGGTCTTAAAAACCTCCAAGGATGCAGATTCCACAACCTCTCTAGGTAACGTGTTCCAGTATTTTACTACCCTTCTCATGTGAAAGTTTTTCCTAATATCTAACCTCAACTTCCCTTGCTGCAATCTGAGACCATTTCTCCTTGTTGTCATCTGAGACACTGAGAACAGTCTAGCTCAGGGGTGGGCAAAATGCAGCCTGCAGGCCAGATGCGGCCCACCAAGCCATTCTATCCGGTCCGCAGGGTCCCTAAAAATTTTAGAAAATTAATATTAATCTTCCCTGGGCTGCCTG